ATCAAAATGTATTAACTTCACCCCTCCGTGTTTTTTTTTCCCTCGATACCCTCTTACCTTTTTCACTGGAGTTATCCACAATAAATATACTCATTGTTCTGTTGTCATCTACTGCTCCACAGCCACATGCCAGGTCCCATGCTGCTATTTACTTATGTCATCAGGAGCTGGTTGTCCCTTCCTGGTACTTGAAGCCAACACCCTGATGATGCGTGCAGGTCATCCTCAGTCCAGTCGCAGGTCCACCTTCTACCAGCGCAGGTTCACCCTCCTACAGCCGCCAGCAAGTTGTGTGACGAAATCGCTGCTCTCCACAACCCCTGCTAGCCGGCTGGCTGCCGGAGAAAGATCCGTCCCTCACGGCTCCCTCTCTCCCTGATGTCACTTCCTCCTACAGCCACGGAGGAGAGACACAGGAGAGGGAGAGTCGAGGGACGGGAAACAGCGCCACCCGGTGTCCGCCGCAAGTCATGCTAGTATGCGGCATTGTACCGTTTGAATGATGTGCCCGGGCGGGAGGTGGGCACAGACCCGGGCACATGATTGCAAACCCGTACTGCCCGGGTGAAACCCGGACGGGTGGCAACCCTAAATACAAGCTGACGGATGTGCTACCCTTCCCCTACTAAACTGAATAAAGGCTTTGTGTGTAATGTATGTAATGTGTTGTTGTTGGAGAGTTCTCCTTACTTTCTGTGCAGTACTACATAAAATGATGTCAGTGGAACAGAGCCCTGGATGGTAGTAAAAACCTGACATGGGTTCCAAGTAGGGATGTCCCGATACCGGTACTAGCATAGGTATCGGGACCGATACAGAGCATTTTTACAAGTACATGTACTTGTGAAAATGCCCCGATACATACCGCTGGTACTTGCTCTATGTTTTTTTTTTTGCAGCTTCAGGCTGCCCAGAGGTGCCGCGCATGTTGGGGTCCTCTGGGCAGTCTGCCGGCCAGCTAAATTAGGACCCCACCTCCCACTAAACCAGCACTGACTAGTGGACGAGAGGACAGGAGGAGGGATCGGAGAGCATGTAACATACCTGTCCGACCGTGCTGCGTCCTCGGAGTCCTGCGCCGCCCACATCCCTGATGTCACACACTCCTCCCCGGCTGTCGCCTTAAAGCCGGGAAGTTTGAAATGCTTAGGCGTCCTAGTATACAGATGATACCAAGCATTTCCGGCTCCGGGACAGAATCACCTGCACCAACACGCAAAGCGTGTAGCTCCCCATCCAGCCCTGACAGTCTGCCTCTCTCCTTGTAAGTAATTGCAGTGCTGCCACGCTGATCTCCCCTGTGGACTGCTTACCTCTCTCCCACCTTCTCCAGTGCTGCCAAGCTTCTCATACATGGACTACTCACCTCTCTTCGTCCATGGCTTCTGTTAATTCTAAGCTGCAGATCTACAACACTGTCCTGGAATCCACTGCCATCTCTACACCATTGCCCAGGAATGCGCCTACATCGCCAATGATGTCCCAGCAGGATCCTGTATTAGTGACTTCCCAGGGCACAGTACCTCTATTCCAAGCTTGCCGAGCGTTCCACAAACTGCAAGTATACTAATCACTGTAGTCATGCCTTGCTATTGAATATCCCTGTATGAACTGGCAAACTCCTCTTTAAAGGGACAGTCCACAATTTCAAATTGTGATATTGAACTTGTAGTCCTCAATTTAATTACTGACATTATTGTTTCTTTTGGACTTTCTGGTGGGCAGAGGCTCTCTGTATGAGGTAATACAGACTCCCTACCGCCACACACCAGCCATTTACTGAGACATGTACCCAGTGGTTACACTACATATAGAGTACACTGCAGCAATAGATTTACAATTCTGCCCTGCTAACATGAATAGGTTAAATGATCAGAGAGGCAGATGCATGATCAGATTTGTAGTTTCAATACAGCTGTGTGAAAGCAAATAGAAATGTTTTATTGTTCTAAAACAGTCTTAAAGTAAAGTTCTTCATAATCATAAAGAAATTGGCCTAAAATCATTAGTCAGTATTGGTTTTTTTAAAAATGTCACCTGTCCCTTTAAGAAAAAGTATCGGTAATTGGTATCGGCAAGTACATGAGGGGAAGTACTTGTACTTGGTCTTGAAAAAGTGGTATCGGGACATCCCTAGTTCCAAGTGTACCATGCTATCTATATTTGTCCAAACCACATGTAAGAATTTTTGTTTTACAAGAAAACAGGGAATGCGCAGGTTAAACATGCAAATGAAAAAAATCCATGCAACTTCACACTAAGCACAAATAAAAAATACATGAGCGCAAAAAATGGAGGCAGACATCCATGCCTTTTCACCAAGCTGTAAACAGTCCACCAGTCACCAACACAGCTATAATCAAACTTCAGTTTACACATATTTGTCAACTTTTCATTAAATGACCAAATACTTTGAGCGTCAGAGCTGGATTTAAAAATGTATTGCAAAGTTATAGAGCAGACCTAAAGAGTACTGATATGCAATGCACGTAGTAAGATTCCCTTCTGTACATGATTGTTGACATTGGCAGACAGCAGTGGATTATACTAAGGCAAAATGGTAATCTGCCCAAGGCTTCAGGCTGTAAAGGGAGCCCATAGCAATGCTTAAAAATTGCTTTTTATAGTACGTAAATTTCAGCTTGGCAAGTCTTTAGACTTTTTTCAGAGGTTGGCATACCTCCAACCTTTCTGAGATTAGATGAGAAGTTCCAGCACAATGTATTTAGGAAATAGACACACCCCTGCCAGGCCCCTAGTTATGCAGACCATTAAGAATTGATATGCCAAAATAATTGATTAAACCCAGAATTCTTTTTTTTTCACCATTATTTTCCTTTATACTGGTTACTTGATAAGGTTTTGGTGCAGAATAACCTTTTCATAGACATCTGTACATCAGACCAGAAAGAGAGACAACTGAGGGGGAAAGAAGGACAGAGGAATTTGGTTCCAAATGAGGGACTGTCCCTCCAAATGAGGAATAGTTGGGATGTATGGAGTGGTCAGCAATGGCAGCCTTTATTTTTTTTTCTTAGGACAAGTTTCTTTAAAAAGTATGTCCTCCAAAACCTTTTTTATTTTTTGAATAATAGAATGAATTCATAGAATGAAGAAAGGCTAGAACTTCAATCAGGTGCTACTAATATCCAGGTTTCTGTTAGTAATCTTTCTCCTCACTGTCTTGGTGACACCAATTTTACCAGATAGGGAGTGAAAGAAAATCTGCAACAGAATTTTCATGTACTTCCTGTCTGTTAAAAATGTCACTGTTGTCACTGGGATGGTAGACATGTCTGTAACAGGGTCTCTAACCAGGCTTTGCTCCACCAATAGGCCCCCCTAAGACCCTGCATTGCCCAGGGTGAGACTGTGAGAGTCCGCACAGCCCACCATAGAGCACGCACAGCCCACCATAGAGCACGCACAGCCCACCATAGAGCACGCACAGCCCACCTATGGGTCTGCACAACCCACCAAAGAACCTGCACAGCCCGCTATAGGACCTGCACAGCCACCTGAGAGTCCACACAGCCCACCACAGAACCTGCACAGCCATCTGAGAGTCCACACAGCCCAACATGGAACCTGCACAGCCCACCAAAGAACCAGCACAGCCCACTATAGGACCTGCATAGCCACCTGAGAGTCCACACAGCCCACCAAAGAACCTGCACAGCCCGCCTGAGAGTCCGCAAAGCCCACCAAAGAACCTGCACAGCCCGCCTGAGAGTCCGCAAATCCCATCATAGAATATGCACAGCCCACCTGAGAGTAAACGTAGCCCACCATAGAAGCTGCACAGCCCACCTGAGAGTCTGCATAGCCCACCATAGAATATGCACCACCACCTAAGAGCACGCACAGCCAACCTGAGAGTCCACACAGCCCACCATAGAACCTGCACAGCCCGCCTGAGAGTCCGCAAAGCCCACCAAAGAACCTGCACAGCCCGCCTGAGAGTCCGCAAAGCCCATCATAGAATATGCACAGCCCACCTGAGAGTAAACGTAGCCCACCATAGAAGCTGCACAGCCCACCTGAGAGTCTGCATAGCCCCCCATAGAATATGCACCACCACCTAAGAGCACGCACAGCCAACCTGAGAGTCCACACAGCCCACCATAGAACCTGCACAGCCACCTAAGAGTCCACACAGCCACCTGAGAGTCCCAACAGCTCACCATGGACCCTGCACAGCCCACCATAGACCTTGAACAGACCGACTGAGAGTCTGCATAGCCACCTGAGAGCCAGCACAGCCCACCATAGACCCCACATAGCCCACCTGAGAGCCAGCACAGCCCACCATAGATCCCACATAGCCCACCATAGAACCCACACAGCCCACCTGAGAGCCCACACAGCCCACCATAGAACCTGCACAGCCCATCTGAGAGTCCGCACAGCCCACCATAGAGCCCGCACAGCCCACCGTAGAACCTCGCACAGCCCACCGCAGAACCTCGCACAGCCCACCGCGGAACCTCGCACAGCCCACCGCGGAACCTCGCACAGCCCACCGCGGAACCTCGCACAGCCCACCGCGGAACCTCGCACAGCCCACCGCGGAACCTCGCACAGCCCACCGCGGAACCTCGCACAGCCCAACGCGGAACCTCGCACAGCCCAACGTGGAACCTCGCACAGCCCAACGTGGAACCTCTGCCTCTAACCATGTATATTCAGAATGCAAGACTAGTATCACAGCTGCCGTGTAAGCAACAATGATGAAAAGCCTCAAAGTAGGACCAAAACTGTCTCTTCAACTGGCCAAATATAACCTATGTCTGCCACTGGTGGCAAAAAAACCAAGCACCATCTTTATTTCTAAGCTTGCACTGGCTTTTTCTTATTGATTTTATTTTTCCTGCTCATGTTTATCTTAATAACTACATTTAGCAGAGACGTTATAAGATGTCCAGTGGCCTTTATGGTGGAGTTCAGAGATATCAAAGTCACCGCAACTGAATAGTGATTTTTCTTTGTTGTCCTTCCAGTATTAAACAGCTTGACAGATATGGGCAGCTGATCCTGATAAACTCTTCTGCTGCGGACACTGGGGAGTTCACCTGCTGGGCTCAGCTCTGTGATCGCTTCGGCTGCAGAAAGGATGAATCCAAGACTGGCTCTACGTACATTTTTTTCACAGGTAGCTATGACTCTAATTTTTAACCTTAAAGTGTATGTAAAACCAAAAATGAATATTATCTTTATGTTAATGCTTATTTTTATAGTTCTTTATTTTTCTATATTGTATGGCTGGTCTAACATTGATTAAACATTTCATGAATATGGTTGATGATTTAGCCTTCTACATTTCAACCATAATTGAGCTATCAGGTTTGAGTTGGGCAAGGGTAAAGTAGCAATCTTGGCATAGGTAGTAATGGTGGCAGTAGATGGCCATGGCAGACCTCTGTCAGAAACATCATTAGCCAGATATGTTGCACTTCTTGTCAATGTACATATCAGCATCACAAGGAAAACAAATCTGATAAAGTCTTATCTGCTGTGTATGTTATACAGTACTAGCTGGCGCAGGAGGTGTGTATTCTTTCATTTATACACTAAATAGTCTACACTAAAATAGTCTTTTATCGGCTGTACAATCAGCAGAGTGCAGGGCATGTACTTACATCATTGAAAGAAGAAAGACAGGAAAAGATAACATCAGTTAGAGTTCCAAAATTAAATTCAATTGCAAATCTATCTCACTGGTTAAAGGTGCCAGTGGTAATGAACACAGCTTGCAGTTCTAACTGTATTATTATACCTAACAATGAAAACTGTTTACAGAAAACTGACCTAACCAGTGATCTATAGAAAAGGCAGGATATGCCATATGGAACACGTAAAAGGGAAATCTCCCTCAGGATGTACAAGGCCTTAATGTAATAACTGTGTTGTTTAATGTGTCATCATTATTTTTAGGCTGCAAGGACACCTTCAGGCTACAATTAGACTATATGTGAACTTTATGTTCTGACAATGCTAACTAAAAAGAGAAGACAAATGGGGGGATTTCTCTAAACTGGAGCAGAAGAATCTGGAAAAGTTGGCTATGGCAACCAATCAGCTTCTCTCTTCAGTTTGTTCAGTTAAGAGTGGACAATGAAAGGTGGAAGCTGATTGGTTGCCATGCACAGCTGCTCCAGATTTTGTTTTCCCAAGTTTTGATAAATTCCCTTCAAAATGTTTATAAGTACTGTTTGACCAAAAAGATTTGTGGCCACATGAAAGGTAAGACATAAGTGGACTAAGGGACATGGTTTGAATCCAGCGCTGGTTTTGTTCCTGGTGTAGTGGAAGATTATTCCATTCTCTGATAGTCCCCAATAGTAGAGTTTATGTTTTATTACACTATTTACACCTTCTAATAGGAAACATTTATTAGGGAGTAGTAGGGCACCGATTACGATATCAGGGCCCATACTGGGCATTTTCACAAGTACTTGTGAAAATGCCTTGATACTAAATGCTGATACTGGCCACACATCTCATGCTCCTTCTTCCCACCACCCACTCAGCCCTGGTGAGACCGCACAGCCATGGTGAGACCGCACAGCTATGGTGAGACCCCCATGCAGCCCTGGTGACACACAGCCATAGTAAAACCCCCACACAGCCCTGGTGGGACCGCTCAGCCATGGTGAGACCCGCACGCAGCTCTGGTGAGACTACACAGCCAGGGTGAGACCCGCACGCACGGTGGGACCGCTCAGCCATAGTGAGACCCGCACGCAGGTCTGGTGAGACTACACAGCCATGGTGAGACCCACGCACAATGATGGTGAGACCCATACAAAGCCATGGTGAGACCTGCACGCAGCCAGGGGGAGACCGCACAGCCATAGTGAGACCCACACGCAGCCCTGGTCAGACTCCACACAGCCTACTGAGATGCCACACAGCAGTGGGGAGCAACACAGAGTATGTAGCTTCCTATTGTTCTGCATTGCTGTATAATGTATTTCTGGAATTTGCAGTCTTCTATTTCTGGTGGTATTCTGCAATACTGTATAATTTATTGCTAGAATTTGTAGTCCTCTATCATCGGTGGTATTCTACATTGTTGTATAATGTGTTGCTGAGATTTGTAGTCCTCTCTAGCTGGTGGTATTTTGCATTGCTGTAAAATGTATTGCTAGGATTTGTAGAGCTTGGAGTCAGTAGCAGGACTACCAGGGTCGCAGTGGTTGCAGCTGTGACTGGGCCCTGTTGCTCCACCACTGTGCTAAAATCATAAGTCTGTATTGCTTTAGAAAAACTGCCACGTGACACAAAAAAATGGTGTCGGTAATTGGTATCAGGGAGTACTTGAGGAGAAGTATCGGTACTTGGTCTGGAAAAAATTGTATCAGTGCCTCCCTATTAGGAAGCTCTTCGTATATAATAGTTTATGCCTGTACTGTTTAAAATGAAGACATGTTCATGTGTTTAATCCTTTCCAAAATAACTACTCCAATTTGCTTTTTATGAGGTAGGAGTTTTACTCAAACAAAAAACTGTTAAGTCAGAGTATTAGATTCTGCTCTCCGCTGGACACTGCATCGTTTGCTTTCTCCACACTGCACCTACCTTTTAAGTGTCATTCATAAAATGCAGGCTGTGGTGTGGAGCCTCCATTCTCCCAGAGAATGTTTTCTACATAATGCATGCAGATAACCCTCTATGACTGGCAGAAATGCTGGTTACATGGCTTTACCAGGTCATGTGACTGGGCACCTTTCTCACTATTTTTTCTACTCCCATTTATTAATTTTAATAGGATTTATTTTATTCTACTTCGATGTGTTTTTTTAAAGTGTGTTTTTTTTAAGCAGTGGTATGGTCATGGTAAGGCCATACCCTTGCATTTTGAGTTGGTTCCTTACAGTGGCTTCTAACTTTATTTTGGGCCTTTTTTGTTTTTCTCAAAGTTAACATCCCTTGGCTGGGGGGTGTTGGTTTTTGACCTCTGGCTTGAATCGGACAGTTTCTTAATACTAACTTAATTTGACTAGAAAATGGGCCCTTTTGACCTGTCAGGTGCTCCTGTGGATACCTTCATCAGGCGTACTCAAATATAGGTGCTTTGCTGATGATACGCAGCTTGTGTAAGGCCAATTTTACAGATGAGACTGAAAGAGCCTGATGCAGAAGAGTTTTAAATTGGAAACAGTTCATTCTTACAATGTAAATCTATAAGTTATTTTTCTTCTTTTTCTGCAGATAAAGGGGAACTATTTGTGCCATCTTCTGGTTACTTTGAGATTGTCTACTTGCACCCAGATAAACCAGCCATCATCCCATGCCGAGTGACCACTGCATCTGCCAAAGTAACCCTACACAGGGAGTTCCCAGCAGAGGAAATTAAGGCTGATGGCACAGAGATCACTTACAATGTGAAAAAAGGTTTTGTTTACCAACATCCCATTGCCAACCAAAGTGGAGTGGTCTACTGCAGAGCAGAGGCCAGAGGAGCACCACAGATATCTATCAAATACCAGTTACTTTACGTAGAAGGTGAAGGATTTGCATGACTTTTTAAACTGCCGTTAATTTGCTTACGAGATGCTTGCTAAAGAAGACCCAACAAAAAACAAATGTAATTTAGTTTTGAAAGGAGGAGGATGGAGGCAGATGTGTGTAATAATACATTTACTTTTGGTTGTCAGAAGGCTAGGTTGTTAGAGGTTGGACCCCAGGTTAAAATCCCTTTCATGGTAAAGATAAGCAGCCGTGCTTATAACATACAAGCATGTACTGTAAGTGTGAAAAAAAACAATACCTTATTAAAAGGTTGTATTAAAACTCTAGGTAAACGGTTAAATACACAGGTTAAAAAAAGCCTGTCACATTTTGTGAATGTTTTACCTGCTAAGAAGTTCAGCTCTTACTGTGATCAACTACCCCAGCCACATGGCCACATGGCATACAGCCAGGTCCTTGTCCTCACTACAAACTACCCTAAAGGTAAGGAATGCAGTCTGGTCCGACATGCCTATTTTACAAGAAGCAGAAGGCTAATACAATACATTGGATCTATAGGCAAATTATGCATGGGATTTATACCATGTTTCATCTCTGTCAAATCATGATTCTGCTCTGTGCAATAATACTATATGATTGTTGTCATAATGTAAAACTTTGTCACCTAGAAATATAAATATATTTAAAATTAGGGATGCACCGAAATTTGGTACTTGGGGCAAAATGTCGAAAGTACCATTTTCTGACCGAAAATGCGGTGCATCCATGGTTTCTCTCCTCCTAGCTGGGCGCTACTCTATGTCCCCTCTGACACAGAGCAGCGTCCAGTAGGGAGGAGAGAAACCTTCAGGAGGCTGAGCGGGCAGGAGAGTGCTGTCAGCGTTGGTGTCACAGGAGGCTGAGCTCTCCTCCATCACCATCCCGCTCGGCCTCCTGTGACTAGCAAATCAGGATGGAGAGCAGTGGGAGGAGACAGCTGTCACAGGAGGCCGAGGTGGCGAAGCAGGGGAGGAGTCAGCTGTCAGTCGTGTCACAGGAGGCTGAGCTCTCCTCCCCACACTGCCCTCTCTGTGTCCTCAATCTCTTTTTCTATTTCGAAAGGGAAATATCTGGGTTCTATTTAGAACCCTGATATTTCCCCAGAGCCCCCGACAGTTAAGTAAAAAAAATGTAAATGTTAGAAAAATGTTTTTAAAAGGTTAGAAAAATAAATAAATAAAAATACAATATAAAAAAATTATTTTAAAAAGGTTAGACATTTTTTTGGGGGGGTTTCGGCCTGACAAACTTTTTAATTTCGGTTTTCAGTTTCGGTCTGAAAATTCCATTTCGGTGCACCTCTAGTTCAAATAATTAGCATAAAGGGAGTGTCCACTAAAGTATAATACAATATTTCAGAACTTTTATGTCACACCTACCAGGTTCTTCTGGGTGGGGGTTGGCTCAGTGATGGCTAGGAGGCCAACAAAAAGCTGCTATTAGCAGCTGAAGTTCTCATTTACCACCAAAAAATGCTTGGGGTCATTTATGACTTTAATACAACAGATTGGACTTTCTCTGCAGAAGATTGACCTCTGCCGAAACCAAAGACCAGGTGCATGTTTTGGCCTATTTTGTAATATCTTTTTTTGTGAATATTTTTATTGTGTTCATATGTTATATTTTAGAAGTATTAAGCTGAATCTCTAAATGCTTTAATCAGAAATTGTGCTACCATATTTTAAACTCTGTTTCATTCCTGTCTGGTGTGGCTGCGAGTGTCACAGAACATTTCTTAAAGGTCAGTATTGCTACAGCAGATGCGTATTTGCGTTAAAACATGTGGAAACTATCATTTGTGTGTGTATAGGGTTAAGTGTAGCGTTATCCAACCCCAGTAACAATCACTCTCAGTCTGCTGTCACCTAGATTAACCTAATCTCTGTTTATTGTGTGTCTGAGAGCGCAATTGTCACATTCTGGTGGCAGTGCCAGGATCTGAGACTGTCGCTGTCACAGTATAGTATTGTTCCATGATATGATATTGTTTCACTATTTATTAGACATGTGCACCAGCAAAAAAATTGTTTAGTTTCGTTTCGTTTTGATTCAGATTTTGCTTTATTTTGTTTTTCGGAATTCGGGTTCGAAAGTCAATTCGTTTCGGAATTCGGATTTGGACTAAATTTGTTAGCTTTAATCCGTACAAAATTTTGTTTCGGTTTCGTTACATTCGTTCGTTGCAGCAGAGTGACATTTAAAAGGAAAAAAATGTTTTTTTGTTCTCAAATGTCACTTTGCTGCAACGAAATTTCGTCAAAAAAGCGAAAGTTCGTCCAAAAACAAACGAATCGGAAATTCTGATTTTTTGCATTAGTTATATCTGTAATTCGGATACATACGAATCTCTGCATTTCCGAAATTTCATCCGAATTTCAATTCGGAACGAAACGAATCGCACATGTCTACTATTTATGATAACGTACAATGTGTAGACTATTACACCTGCAACATTTCTTTAATATGTGCTTTTTGTTTAGTTCCGAGTGGTCCACCCTCTGCAACTATTACTTCCTCTGCCAGCAAGGTTCATAGTGGAGGGGATTTCAGCATCTACTGCACGGTCCTAGGAGAACCCGATGTAGAAGTAGAATTCACATGGATCTACCCAGGACAAGAAGTAAGCTTATGATTGTACATTTACATGATTGGAAGCAGAGTGTTGCTTTTGGAAGGCTAAAATCTTCAATTCTTGGCTAGCAAAAAATAAAGCCAAATATAAGCATAAGGAGGCTGAGATACTGTTGTTTGGGGTATAAGTAGATAAAGTCTGTCCTTTCCTTTTATCTTATCACCTCTCCGGAAACCCACATTTCCAGTGTGTCTGCGTACTAGGCAGTACAAAGCTAAAATGAACACCCCTAATATAATAAACACACACTTGTGTAAGTAATTAAATATAATTAACCTGAATCAGAAATAAAATATTTATAGGTTATTTTTGCTATTATGATGTAATACTTATATATTAAAGGAGAACTATGAGGTGAATGCTTTTCACTCACCTCATAGTTCTAGCCGACCTGTAACAATGAGACTGTCACAGGTCGGCTCAGTAGATCGGGAGGTGAGCGAACATATACCGGCGTTCGCTCACCTCTCGATCCTGTCACAGCTCTCTGCCATGACAGGGGAGGGGCTGGATTCCCCCCTCCCCGCTCCGATCCTCCGGCTCTGACTGGCAGATCGGACGGGGGCGGGTACAGCTGGCTCTGCCTCTAGATAGGCAGAGCCAGCTGTCACTCACGCAGCTGGGCGGTTCTGGACATAATTGTCGGGATCCGCTTCAGCTGCGGCGTCTCAGTATACCGCGAGCAGTTGCTCGCGGTATACTGTGGCGTCTCAGTATACCGCGAGCTGTAGCTCGCGGTATACTGAGCTTGGGTGACGGGAGGACGCTAGTTTGTGTCCTCCCATTACCCTAAGGAGAACTATGGGGAAAAGCCCCATGGTTCTCCTTTAATATTACATGATGTATGACAAAATAATACCTATAAAATCTTTTCACTCCAAAGACACGTCCTATTTATATTGCAGAGTGGCAAGTGGCCTTGAAGATTTCTGTCATATGTATGTGGCACCACGGACCAGCCCTGTACAATATGTCCTTGTTGTGATCTATGACTCTTTTGGTGAAGCTTGTCACCCAAAAGGCTGTCAAGTACTTAACGTTTTTTCTCAATCTGTACGAGGAAAAAACGCTTGTAACCCCCATCTGCGATAACAGCATGGATGGGGACATTCCCCCCACTGGGCTATTGTATTCTGACCGCGGCACAGCTTAGTGGCTGGAGTCACTGTTCAGATGAGAATGTTCCACCTAGTTCCATCAGCTTTCAGAAAGAAGAAAGTTGGATAGTAGGCTACAAACAGGGCCACCCAGGGAGAGCATTTCAAAGAGAAAATTTGCTCCATGTATCACCAGCTTTAAAGATGATTGCTTGCTGATTTTTAAACCTTTTTCAGGTGTTCCCACTCCTGTTGCATGTTCCTTAATGCAAAATTAAGTTTAAACATGTAACAAGCATCATGGAACCCCCATACAAGAGTTACCGAGGGAGTGCAGGTTTAAGAAACCATTATGTGGTTTAAAGTGAACCTGTGCTTTCCAATAGTTGCAAAGTAACAGGTGCACAACATAGTAGGTAGCAGGCACAGTGAGCATGTACTTACCTTCTTCCTAATCCCCACCTACACTGATCTGCTTTTGGAGTCCTGTGAAATACCCATTACTTTATAGCATGGGGACATATGACCTTTTTTTCATCTTCCTTCAAATAGAACAATGCTATATATGTTTACAGGCCGGTGTAAGTATAGTGGAAGTAAAACAGAATAAATATGACTGATATCAAGTGAACCTGTGACTAGTATAACAATTTAGAGGGTTCACTTCTACACAAACCGTAAAATGTAGGTTATGTGTGAACTGACTCTTTTAGAAACCATCTGTCAACAGTGCATGCCCTTCAAGAAGCCAGTCCTAATGTTTGCTGTTCCACATAACATGTGATTATATTGTACAAATAACTACAACATAATACATAATAACCACTACATAAAAAGGCAAAATGAGTTGAAAGAAAGAATGATACAGTTTTCCTAGGATGACAAAACACCATATCAAATGATAACAGCACACACCCAGCGGAATTCTCTCATTCATGACATTCCATGTATTGTGCTCTGACCTCTTGTGATATATTTTCCTTTTCAACACTGAGACAATTGTGTTCCTGCTGCACATGGTAATCTGGGTGGGATTGTGTGATATCCACTCTGTACTGTTGATATTGGCAGGAATATTAATGGTGATCATGACTTCTGGTTACAATAACGGAGCTGGATGTGACCTTATCCTGTTCTGGCCAGTAAGAAAGCTTCTCTTTATACCACAATACTCAGCCTTTCCTCGCAGATAAAAGATGTGCAGGTGTTTTAATAAGGCTGGGCAAAGAGTAATGGTGTTGTGTACAGGTACTTACCCACAGCAACTAATTATTTTTATCAGCTGCTAGGACAATGAAATAAGATTAATAAATAAGTTATCCAAAGTGGTTTTAGGCTATCTACTGTATACTAATTACTTTGAGCCTGTCTAGTATGTACCTATGACCTAAAGGTGCTAAGAGACATACAATGATTGTTGCACAATTTTGGTTCATGTGTATGGGTGATATCTGTGGCACTATATGATTTGTACAGACTCACTGTTCAACCAATCTCTGGCCAGGCAGCATTCTCTCATGCAATAGTTATTGTACCCTTGAGAATACACCAGCACCAAGGTGTCTACCTGTGTATGGAAAGGAATGTACAACCAGACAGGATATGATGAAGTGGACCTAAAGCCTTGCTGCCCAACGTATGGCCTTTTGGTGTTTGCAATTTGGCCCCGGGACCCCAGCAGTCAGTAGATGGCGTGATCATTTGGAAAGAAGCTTTACTAGCAGTGATCTCCAGTAACGTCATGTAACATGTGTTTAGTCTCTTAATGTCTCCTATAGCAAGACTACAGTCTCCAACCACTCCTGTAGCACAGTCTCTGTCAATTTCCTCTAATAAGTCTTCAGTCTATGACAGTATTCTGTAGCATTTCATATAATGAATATTACATGCGGCCCACCGGTGACTGAATTTGAAGCCCCCCATACCTCGTAAGGTGACATCCACTGACTTGAAGGAACCAAATGCTCTTCATTAACCAGTGAGAAGCACAATAGTGCCTTCTTAATTTAGAAAGTTGCTATTTCTGGCTTCTATCACAAATCCAAAAATAAAGGGTGGAGCCATGAAAATACTTATTTTTGCTTCTGGGTCATGTATGCATCCAGAACTATTATTTTAGAACCATGTATTCCAAACTGCATTGAGCTGTGGTAGGTTTGCTGCCCATCATATTGCAATGTACATTAGCCATGAGAGTATGGCTTGCATGTGGCAGAACTTGGTAAACCACTGTGAAAGTATAACCAGGCAAGGTATAGTGAGATGGAATCATATATGTCACAAATACATTCATTTTCATTTATATTGTACTCACATAATCGTAATAAGACCTCACAGGGCCCCTTTCAACATAGCAGCAATACCTCATAAATGGTAAGTAATTGCATTATGGTTGCCTATCGTGTATAAGATATTGTAGTATGTTATGACATATGCCTGTCATATGTCATTGATAAAGGTGCTCTGTGAGGTCTCCAAATGTTTGCAAACACCTTTATACAAGAGCAGTAAACAGCATTAGTGGTGGAGAGGGTGTTTTGGTAAGATGCAGGGTTTTTGGATTGCTCACTAGTATCATTCATCTGATCACTTTGGCACCTAGCAACTGTATTTTTCCGTGTATAAGACTATACTTTTTCTTAAAAATATTTACCTAAAAATGGAGGGGCGTCTTATACATGGGGGGCCGAGAGGAGAACCGCAGTTGCGAAACTGCTGATACCTCTGCAAATTAGCCTCGAGTGAAACTTCAGATTGCAGAGACAAGCTAACAGGTTTCCTCCAATCATGAGACTTATGTACCCAACGTCAGCTGCTGCTGCGGAGAGCGTGTAGCCAGTGCCCAGATGCAACAGGGAGCCCATGAAAAATTTCAGAAAACAAAAAAAATATCAGTACCAGTAAGCGGCTGTCTTACTCTGCAAAATGTAAACTGGATGTAATCAGTTATGCAAAAGAGCATGGAAAATATTGATCTCTGAATTTTGGGTAAGAAAAGTGGGGGGCGTCCTATACATGGGGGCGTCTTATAGATGGAAAAATACAGTATGTAAGAGGTTAAGACGGTGTAGGATAGTGATCACTTTCACTTTGCATAAGCATGTACGTTCCCGATTCCACTTTTTATCCAGCTCTTTTTGATGTGGTGCAAGGCAATAAGTTGCGCCTCAGGCAGTTGGAGAGATGTCCCTTCTTGTTGCAGACTCTCCCTTTGAGAGCGGTTGATGCTTTAAGGGTCATCCTTCCCAATAGTGATATTTTAGTTTTAAGTTGAGCCTGGTGGGCTGGGACAGCTCTTGCCTTCTTGTGTGTCTTGTATACTCCAACACCAAAACAACTCTGGATGTTCTTGTCCACTTGGGAATTTTGGGTGTTCTCACACACCTTTGCATATTCTTACAATTTCTATAATACAAAATAAATTAAAAATCCAAAAAGCAGACTTGGAACCAGGGTTGGTGCTAGACTATTTTGCGCCCTAGCCAAGACCAGCTACTGCACCCGCCATCCCCCCTCCTGCAGCTTAACCCCCATTCTCTCCCAGCCCCACTCTCTCTCCCAGCCCCATTCTCCTGCTTCCGTAGGCAACAGGTCGATGTAATTTAATTTGAAATAGCCAATAGCAGGCTGGCTATTGAAAACCCACCTACTGAACAGAGGAGCTGACCTGAGAGAGAAAGCTGCCTCTCAGTTCCGCTCCTCTGCTCAGTGGGTGGGTGCAATAGCCAGCCTGCTATTGGCTTTTGCAATTTGAAAAAGACAGAGGGTGCCATCGGGTGGTGAGTAATCGAGGCTGCGCCCTAGGCGCAGCACCGGCCGAGCTCGGAACCCATCATAACGATCACAGCAGGAGTACAGACCTAGGAACTAAAGTGCAGATATTCCATCAAC